CCGCGTTTCTCTTCCGTGGCTCTTTATTTCTTTGCTGTGCGTTCGCCAAGGCTTTGAGCCGTTTTTTTTTGTTTTCTCGCTACCTACTGCTTTTCGCTTCCCTATACTCGCAGGCACGCGCAAGCACACGCCCTTTGTGGCGAGTTCCTCAAAAGTACTGCCAGCACTTTCTGTAATTTTCTATTTGATTCTATACGTAAAACTTTTCAGGCTTGCTAATTGGAATCTTTTTAATTGCTACGTATAGACTGAGATATAAAGAGGAGTTATTCAACTGCGTTTTTGTTACTTTGTATGAAAATTTATTAGATACGTACGAGTCAATCTAGGTGTGCTTGGATGAATGTCGGTCAGTGCGTCCTTTTAATAAAGTTATTACTTCTTATACTCGATTCAATTTTCACATCACAAAGAAAAACTTTGAAGTTGGACTCGTCTTTCACTTGTAAAAACCTGCTCGGAATGTTAATTGATTAATTTAAAAAAATTTTAATTAGCTTCATTTTATTTCATCATGCGCGAAATGAATAAAGTTGAAGCATGAACGAGGAAGAAATGTGAAAAATGCAATGAAATTTGATTGCGCATCGAGCGATAAATATAGAGAACTTCAGTCAAGACTTGGGCCGTCCCTTTACTGGAATTTCCCTATAAAGTTTTGCACCGCTTCGACGCCCCATCGCATTCACGGAGACTTTCGTGAAAAGTCGAATTGGCTGGCAGCCGAATGAAGAGAGAATAAAAAAAGAGAGGGAGAGAATGAGAGAGAGAGAAGAAGGCAAGACGCAAACGAAGCCCAAGAGAATATTCGACTTGGCTGGGATTTATCGCTTGGCGAAAATAATAATTTCTCGCGTCCGACGACGCAAGTCAAAACTTCGTCGTCTTTCGATATATTATATAACCTCGCGAAAATAAAGACTATTCCTTCGTTCTCGATAAGGGACGCCTAGTCTTTTACCCGCTGCCCGCGTTCGAGGATTTGCCCGCTGATTGTGCAAATAAAGGGGCTACCATATGATTTATAATGTATATAGAATTTGCAAACCCCCCGCACTGGCAGGCTCAAGCTTTGTTATCCTTTGTCACCAGCGATAAACTTAGAACTTAGATTTTATGTCTTTCGGTCGTTCATGCATAACGTTTTTTTTTTGTTTTCTGTTTCTTTAAATTCATGAAATACGTAAGGCACTCGAAAGTGAGGTGAAAAGCCGTCACACCGCGGGAATAAAAAGTTTACTTCCTCTTTGTTTTGCTTTTCGTTGAACAAGTCAACCGTTAAAAACAAGCTAACTTCGCTCATAAAAAAGGCACAATCCAGTGGCAGGAAAAAAAATCCACTCTATAGCGTTCATTTTCACTTTGTGCGCGCTCTGGAATAGCAAAGCACCTCGAAGAGACAAGCTTAGCTCTCTGCACGCATCGTAGAAAGAGAGGCCTCCTCGTGAAAAGCAAACAAGTGCGATAAAAAGAAATCCCACCTCCATAAATAACGCAACGCTTGGCTACATAAAAACTTATTATCCAACGCGATAAAGCGCGTAAAGTCGCGGAGTTACCCATGAGATATTTACGAGCGCGCATCTAGTCGAGAGAGACGCGTGTCGTCGCTTTTGAATTATGTATCTGCACAAATGAAAATCTCTCTCTCCCTCTCTCTCTCTCTCTCTCTCTCTCTTAATTTATGAAAACGCGAATTTGCGTAGTCGCGTATCGAAACGGCGGCGAGAAAGAAGCAGAAACAAAAATGTTAGTTATCGCTTTGAGACATTTTAGGGCGCCTCATTATCTCTAACTGATGACGCCATCATTCAGAGGAGGGCAAGAACGGGTCGCACATCTACGTGTGTGCCGTTGCGTCCAATTAAACGTCCAATCAATTATCCGCGCGGGCGCGGTGCCACCACGCGAGCTTCTTGTTCTAGTCTGCGCGCCGCGTGGCGCAAAGGCAAGAAGTCAGCCAGACGTTGCGCCAAGACGCTCGCGATCGATCACGGCCTAGCGCGAGCTCTATATGCGCACGTGCGCGACGAAAAACCAACAGCAGCAGCCGCTGCCGTAGCCCACGCGCCTGGTGTCTTCATTTATTGCACCGCCCCGACGACTATGTACGTGGTGCAGCATTCAATTAACCGCGCGGCCGCGCGACCCCGACGACGACGACGACGACGACGACTTCTTTTTTGTCACTTCTGCCGCAGCCACGAGATCCCTTTTTGCCGCTGCACCTTCCCTGCCGACTTGATAAATTAAAAGGCTGTGCTAGAATGTCTCCGATAATGTTAACAAGTTGACCGTAATAGCTTCGAATTTAAGAGCAGCAAAGCTTCCCTCGAGGAGCTATCGATCAATTATCATTGGGCCGCACGACTATTTTTATCTGGTTTCATTATTTGAAATTTCTTGTTTTTATATAACTAGTGTCGTTAATCTCTCGCTCGAATTCAGAAATATTCAGTTTCATGCTTGAATCAAATCGAAATTATTATAAGCAAAATTAAAGAATTCTAAAATAAACTATACATACAAACGATAATTCTATGCTTTCAGACGCTTACCATAAGTCGATATTATTAGTAATAATCCAATCATATTGATATTCGCCAATAGTAATAATTTCAAATCTAATAAACTAACAGGTTCTTAGATGTTTAGCTATTTATAGGTAATATGGGCAGCGCACCAAATCAGTTATATTCTTTCTTTTTCAAATGAATAGAACTGCCGGCTACAAGTAACAATTTAATTTTGTTGATTTTTTAACATATTGGTTTATAATATCAAGCTTTTTGTAGGGTATCTCCGTACCAACAGATATGTTATTTTAATTAAAATGTTTTTCTACTGTTTCTTCAGTTATTTATCCGTGATCATTTGGAGACTTTATTTAAATATACAATTTGAATTTCTAATTGTTTTTTAAAAATAAATTAACGGTGCTGAATGCACCGAAATCAATTCGCAGAATTTCATATAAAATATCGATTTATAATATTCTTTATTGTTGATGATATTTATTCGAAGTAAATATTTACAATAAATATATTCAATAAATTTATATAAGTCCCATAAATAAATGTAACTGGAGTTAATTAACATTACTTTCAATGCCTACAAATTATTATACTGATTTGTATTAATAGAATATTAATAGATGTAGAACGCCTCGATCTATTATTTAGTGCTGATTTACTTATAACAGTGACCTACGTGAGTGCATTCAGTCAATCAGATCACAAATAAATTAACTTCACTCGGCAAACAGTCACTTTTTTATATAGGAAAATCAAAATATATAGAATCAGATGCGCTTTGCGTGCTCTTATACTCTTTTTCATTTTTTGTTATGTTGATTAACGTATATAATATAAATTACTGTTGTCGAAGGTGGATTTTTCAATTTTTTTATAAAACACATATCATAGCGTATAAATGTGCATTGGTAAAATAGTTCCGTGTATTCCAAATTCATTATTTATCATATTGAAAACTGCTACGAATAATTTTTAGTTCTTTTCAACTATTCAACTATTTCAAATTACTATTCAACATTTATTCTATTCTTTGAATGAAAATTGCTTAATTACAATATTTATTTCAATCTTACACATTCAAATATCAGATTATCGATTAGTAATAGAAAATATTTAGAACGATTTCAACATCTTGTTTTTACAACACGATTTATTCGCTGATAGTTTTATAAAATGAGTGTAAAAACAATAATACTGCAACCTACTTTTTTTACTTTCATTATCTTCAAAATTACCCGTATCAACTATGGTGAATTAAATTTTTATTACTAAAATCTCAACTCAAAACTACATCTACACGCTTATTTGCCGTTACATAACAGTCTATAACGTGACTATATCAGATGACGAAAAAAAATCACTGTATCCATCTCTTTTTTATAAAGGGGATAAATAAAGCTAATAAACGATAAATGACATTATGATAATGAATGGTGAATTAAAGATTATATATTTTATATGTTTTATTTTCTTGCTAAAAACAAATTAAATTAAAACAGAAAGAAAAATTCAACTAAAATCAATTTGAATTTTCAATCTTTTTTTATTTGAGCCAATCAGATCACGAATAAAATGCTTTAACATGACTTCCATTACCTTTTTATAAGGGGAATATGCTTCAACATGGCTTCTATTAATTTTTTTATAAGGGGGTATTTTCTTGCTAAAAACAAATTAAATTATTACTAAAATAAAAAAAATCAACTAAAAGTAATTTGAATTCTTAAGTTTTTTTTTCATTGGAGCCAATCAGATTACAAAAAATATGCTTCAACATGGCTTCCGTTAATTTTTTTTAAGGGGATTACATGGTATTACTTTCAGTGTTTCTTTAGGAGTTTTATTTCATCGAATGAATTACTCAAGAAATTAAACCTAAATTCCTACTTATCCTTTCATAGCTCTTTGCAATATTTGAGTTTCTTAATTATTTGAAATAAATGAAGTTGTCATTTAATAATTTATCAATTCAGAATTGGGGATTCTCGATCATCGGAAGCAAATCAAAGAATTGCTATAAATTCGACATTAATGATTCTATACGGCCAGACAACAGTCGAGATTTACTTGAAATAAATGTTGGACTTATAAAAACAGAAATAATAATTATATCGAAAAGTTTATGAAAATGTTATCAATTATTAAGATTCAAGACAAATCCTCAAATGGAAAATCAATACATATGACTATTTCAAGTAAATTTCGAATGGACAGAGAGTCAAATGCACGCCTGACCGGAATCGAATACGCACTGATCCTGGCAAACATCAATTATACATTAAAGGATTACACATTCGAAAATGAATCGTAATCCTATTGTCACAATACTATTACGTTTCGTAACTTCAAATAAAATAAATCAAATGGCAATCTTGGTTCTGCCAGCTTGAATTATGAAATTGGCCGTGAAATAAAAATGTTATTACTGGATATCGATGAATAAAAAAAATAAAATTTGTTTCACAGGTCTCAGGTCATCTGCACAACACTGGTCAATTCTTGGTGTTTCGGACGGATAAAGAATCCAAAGTACGAGTGAACATCACTGGTGGGCCTCTCGCCTATCACTATCAATTCGAAGAGATTTACATTCATTACGGTCAAGATGACAACCATGGCTCGGAACATCACGTCAACAATTATGCGTTTCCCGCCGAGGTGAGTGTCGAGTTGTGATCGCATTTTTCCAAGGGGAACGAAAAGTGGAGAAAAATGGTGAGCAACTGAAAATACACGGAAATTCGTAAATAAATGTACTAAAAGCTCTCTGCGTTGGAGTATCGAGCATCAAAAAGCCCTTTAATCCCATTCTTTATGCTTTGAACAGACGTGACCGACGGCGTCATACGTAACGCCCTAGCACAGCTCCATATCCGGCTTAAAGTATCGTCAAGCTTTAATATTTACTCCCGGCCGATTTGCCGACAGTCGATGGTCGGTCATTCCCTTGCGCTTTATCGAGGCTCTCCATCAGCGTCACGCCCGTCCCTAATTCGTCTCCACTTTTTTTTTCTCCTCGTCCCCGCCTCTGCACCGCCGCCTGATCGGAACCCGTTTATCTGCGTAGTCGTAGAAAGCCCCGATTCAAAAACTAAACGTACCTGAACTTTTGATGCACCCGACGAGTGTCACAGTGCTCGAGGAGAGACTTAACAAGAGAGCCCATCGAAGACGAACACTGTAGACGGAGAATCCAGTTTGGCTTGCAGTTATAGGTTATTTAAAAACGAAAACTGGTTTAATTCTAATGCAACTGACACCTTTGTTTGCAGTTCATTATGTGCAAACTTAATAAATCGCGAGTGACACTTCTGATTACTGTATATTAATCTGGCGAGAGGATTCAATCAGGGCAAGATAATCAATATCTTGCACTAGTCATCACTGACTGTACGATAAAATACATGGATCGTTGCTACAATCTATGCAATTAATGATGTATTAAAAAAATCGTTTTTTGAATATTCCAAAAATGCTTATTAAATCAAAATTAAATTAAAAAGTGACGGAATTGAAACTTAAACTCACGGTCCCAGACTTGCAAATCCAACGGCTTGACCACTAGATCACGACCGTCACAGGCTGAGCTTAGTTCATATCTTACTTTAAATATACAATCCACTAATATTCAGATGAATATTTACGTGATCCCAGCAGTTCAATGTGACTTCAGATCGTTTCATTATTATCGTCATTGCAACTTTACTTGCTGCAACAAAGAATTGCGATGATAAGATATTTTGTTATTATCTGACAAGTAATTGATAACTTTGTTTTACTCTTTTGAGCTGCTTTAGAGATGATCAATTTAAGGTGTACAATGAGTAAAAACTTTGACATCCTATTTGAGCATATAATTTCTTCATCTTCATTTATTGAATGAAATAAAGCTAAGGCACTGAAAACACTTCAATTATAAAGACTGCTGCGTATATACATAATTTTTTCTTTGGGCTTGTAACCAATGAAAGTCACCCAAAGAAATCTTCAAACCTGTAAAATAGAGCGTATGCGCTAATTAAATTTGAGGTCTTGCTTTTGCCTACGAGCGCTAATGACATTCGAGCACAGCCTTCGGAATAAAAAGCAGTGGTCGATCGCGTAGCTGTATGTAATCTCTCGTACCTATGGGCATAATCTTCAAAGACTGACGACCCGGCTCTATAATCCTATGTGCGGACGTGCGCTAGTCTCCTGCCAGGAGTCATTACGCGTCAGGCATCGACGTTAATTAATTGATATTAATTATATCTCCACTCTCATTCTCCATCTGCGATGCGAGCGCAAATACATGATTTGGCGCGCTTTTGAAAATTAAACCTTCCCTGAGCTAGAAATCAATTAACGCAAGTGCACCTTTTAGACCGGATGTCGATAATTGCGCGCGCGACCTATTGGATCTGAAAGAATTACGAAAATCCATTACGCTGTACATTACAGCGTGTCTCTGTGAAACTCTTAAGTTACACCGATGTAGCGAGTGCAGATTATCGCACACCCACGATGCTTTCAGATGCATTATGAGGATCCTCTGCCAACCTGTTAACGAATTAACACGTCTCGTTTGACGTTCCGACTTTTTAGTCTCTTGAAGCTGCTACTCTTAAAACCTCTTTATCGCTTCAGGAGGCGCATTCTGCTCCCCGCCAATTCAATTATGACGCATTTCGACATTTTTCAATTAGCTTTAGCTCTACAAATTTTTTTTTGTTTTCATCACTAATTGTCGACAGTAATCCAAGTACAAGCATGAAATACAGGCGGACGTGTAACGACAAACGCGGGGATGAAAGAAAGCGGAAAAAAAAAATCGGACATAACGTACACGGCGTAGTGCAGACGTACATTGCGTAAAGCAAGCATAATGGGGAAACGTTTATCGTGTTGCCCTGTGGTACGTACTACTACAGACGATGGGAAAGCGTGGCGCTAGAGCAGCGTTCAACTCACCGTATCCCGGGCTGGAGGGTGTAGACGCCGCCGACTCGTTATTTCGAGCAACTCCCTTGTGCGAGCTCGCGCTCACCTTCCTCCCAGTCGATAAACCTCGAATCGATTTGCGGTTAATCGTCCACATAATTCAACCGGCCGCCGCGTGAGCCTCTCGCTCTCTGGACGCCTCCTTCTTCTACTACTACCCTCTCTGCCCCTATTCTTGTATCTCGCTTATTCGCCGGGATTCTCTACCGTTGCTGCTGCTGCTGCTGCTGCTGCTGCTGCTGCTGCTGTGCTGCTCTTAGCCACTTTCTTCTAGCTGCGAGCTTTGTTTTTCTTTTGTATGTACCTAGACTGAGATCGCTTTTCGTGGATTTTCTCTTTCGAGCGATCTCTCGCGATTAGTTGTTGATTGGATTTCTTTTTGTAAGATTGCGATATGTTGAAATATAGCTGTTCGAATTAAAGATCGCGAATGGTTTGAAATAGAGCAAGCGGTGTAAATTTCATTTTCCATGACGTACTGTTATTCAGGAAAAAAATTACCTAATCGCTTATACCGGTATTTTTCAACAAAGTAAATATAATGAGTGTGATCTATATTGGTTGATGACATTACTAAAAGTCTTCTAATAAATCGATTTTCAATTCTTCTCAAAAAATGCATTCCAGAAATTCCACTGATTATTACATATTCCATTTGAAACTATAACGGTCTTTTAACTGCATCGCGGTTTCATGCTTTAATTATATTGATTCGTTTAGAAATAAAGTAAAACTACCACGAGCTTGAAAATTGCGTCCAGCATTCTCCAATAAAGTTATATTTTTTTTAGCCTGAAAGTACAGCTCGTAATATCGAATAGAGCGGTACGTCGATCATTAAAGGCTACTCGTTTCGTAAATAGCATCGAACGTACGTACAAGAAACAATGGTAGTTGAAAATTATTATAGAGCAAGCTCACGCGAACGAGACCGAAAGTTTCGAGAAAGGCAAATTAATTAGGAGTTTGTATAATTGAACTCTGTGTAGCGAGCAAAGCCTCTTTACTGTGGAGCTATAGGCGAGTAATTTAATTCAGCTTGCACGGCTGCATTATACCAACCACTATCTATCCCATACATCTTTATGTATCTATATACACATACAGCCTCGCGTCTCCCGTCGTAAGTAAGCCAGCAGCAGTCCAAGTTGCTATTCCTGCCCAGAGTCGTCAGAAGAGCCATTCGCGTTGCATCGATGAAACGCTCGCGGGCCGCCAATGGTAGTTAGCCAGAATCAGCTGTGTTGCTACCGCTGCCCTGTTGCAGACACAGAGCTAGCGGCGGACCAGCGAGAATCGCGATGCGGCGGAAGGCGCAGAATTGGCATGGCGTCGAGCGATGAATGGGCTGTGGGCCTCTTTGCCCAAGCGGCTCACGTACGCTCGACAGTGAGAGAGACTCCGCTACACATACGAGCGATAAGTTCGATCCCCGCCACATTTCACCCGGCGAAAATCAAGCACGCGCGCGCGCGAGAGAGAGAGAGTTTCGCTTTTGTATACGTGCGGCAAAGCGGGTTCCTTTTATCGGACCGAGGCCATTTGTCCGCTTTTATCGTGATTTTATCACTCGAGTCAAACCGAAATCCGACCTCTCTCTCTCTCTCTCTCTCTCGCTCTCTGCCGCTATTGCTACTCATGATTACCGTCTCGATGGTGCCACTGCAAATAAGATGCGCGTATTGGATTTATACATTTCTCTTTTGCGTTTTAATATTGCTTTGGCTATCAATCTTGAGCTATGTAACGCCGGTGAATTCATTTGTAGCCAATTGTTTTGTTTTATCCTTGTCGTGGTAACAATTTCATTTTGAATTAGAAAAGCTCCAATAAAGTTCAAAAAATGATGTACTAATCGAATATTGCTAATTTAGAGACTCAAAGACTGTTATCGAGATTCGAAATTGAAATAAGTGTCAACTGTGTTTCATATTAAGTAGATTAAGTAGTGCGCGGAATGGATTTTCTTTTCTCAAATAACATTAGAAGCGAATCGTTCTGTTGGTCTTTCTTGTTGTCGGTTTTAATTAAAATCGCTTTAAGTATACAAAAGAAAATTGAAAATTTTCCTGGCAACGTTTCTTAAAAAAGAAATTTTTGATTTAAGCCGATCTCGAAATTTGGAAGATCCTATAGACAGGATGGCATACACACAGAGAGAGCATACACGTAGAGGACAGTCATATTCAAATATTTCGACGAGTAGCGTATACGCGGGATCAGATAACAGCATAGTTGAATTAACGCGAGTTTGCGAACGAGGGATTGGTCGTGTCGGTCGGAGAGGGGAAAGAATCGAACAAACACGAAGCGGTATGGACAAAGGGGTAGAGAGAAAGAGAAAAGTGTGTTTAATCTGTGGACGCAGAGAAATGAACGTTATAGGTATACGCGTATGTATATACATGTGTGGCGGCTAGCCGAGGGTCTGCTAAAGCAAACGCAAACTTTGATTTTGGTATCGTCAGCCCCTCATCTGTGTGCAGCCCTCTACCAAACGTTTGCTGAGCGTAATCAAAATCTATCTTATAGCATTGGCCGCTTCGCAAGTGCGAATTGCTATCCAGTGCGAGTTTCTACCGCGACACATGAGAAAAAAGAGGGTTCGATCTAACTCTGGTTTCTCCTGTTTTTTTTTATCGACTTACCAATAGATCAATGTGTCCTGGATCTTACGT